AAAGATAGAGGAAGAGCTTTCAGAGGCCATATTTTTGTCAGAGTTTAGTGGCTGACTGAGGTAAGATACTTGTTGCTTTTTGTTGTTTTTGCTTGGAGCACTACTTGTAGGTTGCTTTTTGTTGTATGGAACTTGGGGTCCTTAGGACCGCTTTCGCGGGAGGATTGAAAAACTGCTTTTTTGCTATTTAGTGAGTTTATTGTTGCTGGCCTGTCACAGTGAGCACTTTTTCTAAAAAATACACCTTCTTTAGGTACTATTCGGGATGCTGGATAACTTTACTTAAGAGCCGGATATCAATTTACTTAGTAAGTTTATGAGATATTATCGTGGGAAAATTTTTCTTTCTTATTCTTGTTTTGGTAGAGTGATCTACGGGAAGAGTTGCAATTTATTTTCCTTTACCTTACAATTATTATATTAATAACTAGTTTTTATATAATAACTTATCTTTTTTAGCTTTTATACAAAAGACTAATTTATAAGATTTTCTTTAGCTATTTCTAGAACTTTATTACTTTTGAAATTATTGCTAATTATTTAGATCTTATTTTTTTTTTTTTTTTTTTTTACAAGTAGTTATGCCATACTTTATTAAAAGAGAAAATAGTTATATATGCAAATGCTATTCTATTTTTGATACTATGTATCTTATCAATTAAAGTACAACTCATCCAGTTACTATAGGTACCTATATGTGACCTGCAAAACAAAGTTCATTTTAATACTTGGTTAAACCTTTTGGTTCTTTCCAGAAAATAATTAACTGGTATCTGTAGCCCATTATAACTACCTTTTTTCCTTTAAATTTCTTTTATTTAGATCTTGGCAAAAAGATTTTTCTAAACTATTTCTACAATGAAGCAAATAAAAAATAAACTAAAACAAGAAAGGAAAAAGATAAAAAAGAAAGAAAAAAGAAAGAATAGCAAAAAGAAAAGGGATATACTATACAATTTAAATGAATAACCTAAGTATAAAAGATAAAGATAAAAAAAAACAAAAGAAAAAAAAGAAGGCCTAATATACAAATAAAAAGAGTGCACCATTATAACCTTTACAAGGCTAAAAAATTATATACTAAATTGCAACTTTTAATATATCTTTACTGTAAAGCTTTGAGAGTTTTTCTTGACATGTGACTAATATCAAATATCTTCTAGATGGGGCACTAAATCTATTCTATATTGTAGCTCTGTGCTGATCAACAAAACAAACACATAGTTGCATTTTACTGAGTATGTTCTAATTAGGTAAATATAACCAATGCTGACTTTTTGAAGAAGATAAGCTATTTTGCTCACTTTTTGTCAAAAACTTTAAGAGACTGGGAAGTGGTGGGAGAGTGAAAAAAAAACTACTTATATAAAAATTTTAAGTGTTAAGGAGGGTTTTTGTTGTTTTATTAGCAAAAAATATAATATATTCAATACAGGGTTAGGTGCTTCTTGTTCAGTAAATAATAAACTCTAAGCTTGTTAACAAGTAGCATATGAGAACTATTTCTAAATAACAAGTGCCATCTCTGCAGTAAGTAATAAACTCTGAGACTATCAGCAAGTAGCATATAAGAACTATTTTTAAATGATAAATACTATCTTATAGTTTGATCTCAAAACTTAATTTCATCCTATTATATACTAGTTTTTTTGTTTTTTGTGAGTTATTTTTTTCTAAAATTTTGATACCAATTCATGACAAATTTTTAATTACAAAATTTTTAATTGATAAGATTGCACATACATACTACATTATTATAAAATTTTTTGGCCAATCATATCTAACAAATTAGGATCTGTGATGTGCAAATTTGTGGCCAATAAAATAAAACTTCTGTCATACTAATTAAGTATAAGCTATAATAACTAATATATAAATTAATAGCTCTAACTATAATTATCTGTAAGTTAGTAAAAAAAATTTTTTATATAGCAAAATATAATAGAATTTAGTAAAAAAATTAATTTTTATACCTCTAAATTTATTATTCATATCCTTCTGCAGATTAAATTTTTTTTTTAAATTTTAAGCAAAAGTATTTTAGTATTCTCTAAATTAAATTTAATGAAATTTTTTTTTTTGAAATCAATGAATTTATAGAATTGAAACAAAAAAAAGCTCACAAATTTGACTTGGTGGTTGCTAAGATATTCACTCAAAGTTTTTAAAAAAATCAAAGATCTATTAAAACAAATTATACTAAAATTTCCTTAAATATTAAGAAAGATATCTTAGCAATTCCCAAGCCAAATTTGATTAACCTTTTTTTATTTAAATTTTATAGATTCATAGAGTTGAAATTAAAAAAAAGTTCATCGAAATTAACTTTGTGGTTTTTGAGATATCTTTATTTAGAGTTTAAAAAAAAATTTAAAGTGTCTATCAAAACAAACTACACCAAAATTTTTTTAAACTTTGAGCAAATGTATCTTAGCAATTACAAAATAAAATCTAATAAACCTTTTTTTATTTAAATTCTGTAAATTTTTAAATACAAATAAAATATAATTCGTCAAATTTGACTTGGTAGCTACTGAGATATCTTCATTCAAAGTTTTAAAAAATCCAAACCATCTATTAATGTATCTTAGCAACCACCATGCCAAATATTAGGTGGTTTGATTTTTTTAAAACTTCAAGTGAAGATATCTCAGCAACCACCAAGTCAAATTCAATGAACTTTTTTTTATTTCAATTCTATGAATCCATAGATTTCAAATAAAAAAAGTTAACCAAATTTTGCCTAGTAGTTGCTGAGATACCTTCGCTCAAAGTTTAAAAATAATTTAATTTGCAGCTGCAGAGAGGTGTGAATAATAAATTTGGGGTATAGAAAATAATCCCCTTTAGTAATATAAATTAATTTAAACATAGGGTTTCTCAAACACCTCACTTAATGGATTAGAGCTGCAATTTCGTGAATAGATCAGCGAGCATTACTTTTATATTTTTTACATAATAACAATAAATTCTTGACGAATTTCTAACCGATCTAAAAATACAACCCACCTTTTAACTTTTAATCAAACTATAATACAAATTATAATGAATAACTATTCCGTTTATCGCTCACCTAAATTTAAAAATTTTTCAGCAAAGACAAACCAAAATTGAAGGATTTTGGGTAGATGTTTTTCTATATTTAACGAATAATGAAAGCCATGATTTTTTCGAAAATATTTTCTTATTACAGTCAAATCTCGATATAATCACCAGCTTGAGAAACAAAAATCTGGTGATTATAAAAGGTCAAATGTTATATGTTTCATAATAGCTCGAGTTAAAAAATAGTATGAGTCTATTAAGGATGTGACTATATCAAGAACGACTATAACAGGGTCTGATGCTACTTTTTCAGTGCGAAATAGCAATTACAGAATTATTATAATTGCCCATAAAATATGTATAAATTTTAAAAAATTTTACTTGTTTCTACAAAGTAATTATCGCTAATGACACCATAAGTTGATTCTGTTGATATTGCAACAAAAATTTAATTGAAGCCACTGAAACTGAAGTTGAAACTTCGACAGCTGGTTGAATAAAAAAAATTTTGTAAGCCATTTTTAGGAGGCATAGCGAAGATTATTAAAAATAGAAAGAGTACGCTCAAACATTTAATTCTATAAATGTCGTCATTGATTGCTATACTTGAATGTTATCATGATCATTATTTAATTAATTGATCGAGATGCTTGAGAAACCCATAGTCACATACTGTCATAACAGCAAATTTCTTAACAATTTTCTTTATAATTATCGCACCTACCCTGGCGCTTTATGACGAGCTCAGGAAATTATTTTGCTAAATCTATAGCACATATTCTCCAAGAATGATAATGGTAATATCGAATTGAATTTAAATAATTAATAATAAAAATTGTATTGAATTTTAGTAGTTAAAAGAATCGCAAAGGCATATTATAAAAGAACTTTAATAAAAAATATTTATTATTATTTGGGTAAAAGTAGATAGACAAAGAATTACAATACTTTGATGATATTAATATTAATTCATTTATTTAGCAGGCGATTAAATATTTACGAACTTTTTGAACTTATAAAAAGTAAAAAACGAAAATAAATCCAACAAAAAGAGTAATTGCGCCAATATGTGGCGAAACATTAACAGCAGAGCTAGTCTTAGTATCGCCCGTCACTTTAATGTCAGCGCATTGATACCAAGAACCATTGCCACTAGCAGGAGCTAATGCGAAAACAGCTTGAAGAACACCTTGAGAACCAATAGTTGCGTTAGCTCTAGTTAAGTTGACGCTAATGAATTTTTGAGCGTTCGCGAGCGCTGAATACGTTTGATTATCTTTGAAGATAAACAATTAAATGAGTAAACTGTACTCAAAGTTAATTTATCCACATATACTAATATTATTTTTTACCTGATACTTGAATAAAAGTGGAATTTTGAGTGGGTGCATAATAAAAGGTAAGTGTCCCATCGCCATCCTCAAAGAAACATGTAGCTTTGCCTTGTGCTATATGAAGTAAATACAGTGTTATTAACATTATCAAAATGAGAAAAACAGCGAGAGAATTCTAAAAATTTTAACTTACAAATAGGAAAATCAGTAATTGTACCGACAGAGTCAAACCCACCACAAGGAGCAATTGGCTCATTTTCGTCTACGAAGCCTCTCGAACTAGGAGCTTGCAATTGGAAGTGTGCGTTCACGACATTAAAAATAACAAGGAGAACCAGAAGGTAAGAAATAATAGATTTCATAACGAGAGTATTTATTGTTTAAAGTTAAACCTTAAAGCTTTTGGAGGTCAAATTTAGTATGTACGTACGTACGTACATATTTATAATTATTGCAATTTTTTTAAGTATATATACTTATTTAAGCATTTTAATTATATAAATTCATATAATGAATAAAGATTAAATTAAGATTTATGTTTTACATACGGTTCACTTTTCCTATTTTTTCCGTGCATGTTAATCAAAGTATATTTACTGTTACATAAGTATACTTTTCAAGAGGTATGGGCAGAAAGTCTGTTACCGGATCTAAATTTTATCTTGAATTTTTTGTTTACACGTTTTTTAATATTTCCATATTTGTCTATTTCCCAAATTAGAAGCAAACAAAGCGAAGAGTACTACGTAAAAAAAATGGTAAAAATGGAGAAAGGGAGCTGTAACGGTAAAAAAAAGAACAGTTACAGTCTTAGACGAGTAGATTGAATAGTATAATATACTAAAATTATAACTTTTTTACAATTCAATTAATTCAATTTCTAGCGCTTAATCTTTGATCATTATGATTTATGTCGTCAATTTTATTTACTAATGAATTGACGAATAAAAATCAGTTTCCTTTCTTGTTATAATATAACGATAACCCCACACTTCCAAACAATAGTAACGTGATACAAAATTAAAGAATAAACTTAACGTTAATAATTTCTTTAAATACAGATTTCTTCCTCCGAATGAACTTAAATTT